GAAAGAATAAACTAGTTTTATTTAAGAAAGGACCTTTGTACGCTAAAGTTTCCTCGGAAACAAATTATACGGAAAATTAACAAACGACCAGAAACATAACAAATTGAGGTCAGAAGTGGGATGGAAAAAAAATGGAAACGAAAAGTGGCAAATCAAACTACGACTTAGCAGATTTGATGGCAGCAATACAAGAACAGCAAAAGAAACAAGAAGAAGTTCCAACAACCTTTCTTGGTAGCAGCATTTCCTGCTGTGGCATCTTTTCTGTGTTGAAATTACCAGCATTGAGCTCTCTCATGCCCAGGTTTGTTAAAATGCCAGCAAAGTCTCTCAAACTTCTATGAAAGCTGCCATTTTTTGGCCTTGAATCCTGATGACTGTACCAATTTTGGTACCTCTGTGCTGGACTTAATGTTGGATTCGAATTCAAGAGCTCTGGCCATTGCATCCTGCAGAGTAGAGAGGTGTGCTTGCTTCACTTCTATCTTCAGTTGTGGACTGTCCGAGGCATATACAATCTGATCCCTAAGCAACAATTTGAGGATGTCGGGTGGCACAGTTGGGTAGGCCTTTTGTACCATACTTTCCAAATCCTGTGCCAGCTCTTGCAGGCTCTCCCCCTTAGCACAGACTCTCGTCCTGAACCTAGCCCTGTGGACTTCAGACTGATATTGGGTTCCATATCTGAGTTCTAGAGCAGCTACCAGTGCTCTGTAGTTGTACCTGTCATCTGCTGACAACTGTCCAAGTATTTCCAGTGGTCATCCCTTCAAGCTCATTGCCAGATATACTGCTTTCTGCTCCTCTGTCCATCCATTCATTTTTGCCAGGAGCTCAAGTTGTGCTCTATATGCTTCCCACGGTGCCTTCCCATCGAATTTCTGTGGCCTCCTTTGTACCAGATCACCCCTATTGCTGACATTCATGTCTGGGATGTGACTTCTTACAGGACTGAAAATGTCTTTATTAGGGTTTAGCTGTGGGGTCTGGAAGGGGCTTGCCATTGTCTGGGGTTGATTAAGTCAATGGTTAATGTATCCTCCTTGTGTAAAAGACAATAAACCATCCTTTAATGTATTTAATTCGCTTTGAAATTTACTAATGTTTTCCATTTGTACTTCTTGTTTCCTTTCTTGTTCCAGTTGCCACTGCTGTAGTCTCTCTTCTTGTTCTTCTTGTTTCTTCTCTTTTCACTCCAACAACTGCTGTAATCTCTATTCTCATTTCTTTTCTCGTTCTTCTTGTTTCTTTTCTTTTTCATCCAACAACTGCTGTAATCTCTCTTCTTGTTTATTTTCTCGTTCTTCTTGTTTCTTTTCTTTTTCCTCCAACAACTGTTGTAATCTCTCATCTTGTTTCTTTCTCATTCTTCTTGTTTCTTTTGCTGTTCTTCTTGTTTTATTTCTTGTATATTTTCCCGAGTGGAGAGCAAGGACATATGAGGAGCCAGTGCAAGAAGAATACCACCAATAAGTCAGCTTCGGGAAACCAGTAGTGGTTGGTGCTGAGGGACATCACTGTTACCAAATGTTGCAAACAAGTCTCGACGAATCGCTTGTGGTCTGAACCACAATGTCCAGAAACACGTGAACAATCGAAGTGTTGTAACTGCAATGAAAATCGCTACAAAGCGAACATGAAGTATAAGAAATAACACAAACACAAGAACACATAGACAGAAGATACACTACACCTGCAAACAAACACACAACCAGTACCGATACAAAACAACAAGATATCTCCCCTTTCCACACCTACAAACACAGAACACACAAAAATATATGCCACAGTCGTCTCAACCATACCAGCTAAGGAACAAATAGATAATAAAACGAGCCAAAAAGAAAATAAACGACATCAAAAGACAGCGAAGAACAACAAACTAACCATTTCATAAAGATTTATAAAACTATTAATTCGTCACGGAAATCAAAACAAAAAGAAGATCCCATCACAGTCCTGATAAAACCTGCCATGAAAAACTCAACATCAATACTACCCCTTACAACTGCCCAAAATAACAGCCTACATAAAAAATAACCTACATAAATAACAGCCTACATAAATAACAACCTACAAAAATAACAGTCTACATAAATAACAGCCTACATAAATAACAACCTACAAAAATAACAGTCTACATAAATAACATCCCACATAAATAACAGTCTATATAAATAACAGCCTACATAAATAACAG